AGTAAGAGACCAGGAGGTGGAAGACGAGGAGGAGGAAGAGGGCAGGAAGGCGGAAATGAAGAAGGCAAAAGAAGGAAGGGAAGAAAAAGGAAAAACAAAAGAGCTAAAAAGAGGCTCTAGCTGGCTCAGTCGGAGGAGCCCATGACTCTTGATCTAGGGGTTGTGAGTTCAAGCCCCACGTTGGATGGAAAGATTATAAACAAACAAACACACTTTTTAAAAAAAGAGGTAAAAAGAAAGAGTTCTGCATTGACACTGTCCACAATGGCAGCCACTAGTCAGGTGGGCTCTTCAGCTCTTGGAATGAGGCAAGTCCAAACTGAGATGTGCTGTGAGTATAACAATACTTCAAAGTACAAAAAAAAAAACAACATTAATTTTCATATTACACATCGAAGTCAAATATTGGAGATATTGGGGTAAACACAGTATTTCACTAAAATTAATATCACCTGTTTCTTTGAGTGTGGCCAATAGAAAATTTTAAATTACATATATGGCTCCCCAGCTCTGCTCTAGAAAAAAAAAAAAAAAAAGGCTGGAGGAAACTCCCAGAATCATGAACAGTGGATAAGGAGGGGAAGGGGAGAATCTTCTTTTTACCTTATTATTTTTTTGAAGATTTTATTTATTTATTTGAGAGAGAGAGGGATAGCACAGAGGGAGAATGAGAGGCAGAAGCAGACTCCCCGCTGAGCGGAGAGCCCCAGGCGGGACTCAATCTCAGGACCCTGAGCCCAAGGCTTAACTGACCGAGCCACCCAGGTGCCCCTTTACTTGATTATTTGTCACACCAAGGAAGTGTTATGCAAGTAAAACCACTATAGAGAGGTTAAAAGACATTAGGGGGGAGGGAAACTGTTCAAGGGGCTTGGGAATGTGAAGGCGAAGGGTGCCGGGCACAAAGAAAAGGGGTGTCCTCCAAATGGGGTAGCCCAGGGGAGGGGGCGAAGGGGTCCACCAGGCTTCGCAGCTGAAGGAGGCCAGTGGAGGAAGGGTGCTCTGCAAAGGAGCGCAAGACTTTGTTTGCCCACCTGTCCCCCACAGGTTCATCTTTGAGAACACCCCCGCCCGCGGAGCAGGGGCGTGGCAACCCAGAAACCACATGACCAGGCCCCGCCCTGACCACCGCTGATTGGCCCGAGCATGGACACCTGACTCCGCGCTGGACCAACTGGATTCTCACCAGCGGGGATGTGAAATTGAACCGAAGCATGCAGGTGCTCCCCCTGGACCCTGGAGGTGAAAGGCGGCGCGGAAGCCAGGGGCCATACAGCAACCGTGGCTGCAGCTGAAGCCAAGATAATGTGCAGAGAGCCAGTGGCCCCTGAGAGGAAGAGATAGAGAAGCAAGGGAGGAACCTTGGCTCCTGATGTTTCATTTCCCAGAGCCGCTTTGTAACCTGGTGGGATTGTGGACGCCGTTATTATGAAGGCAAAAATTAAGGTTCAGAAGCTCAATTCACTGGCCCAGGGCTCACAGCAAGTAAGAGGTAGCTCCCATTCCAATCTGGCTTTAAAATCAGTGCTGTTAAACACCCCCAGAATACTGCTGGGAACTCTCAACACACGGGGGACACCAGCACCCTTCATTATATGGGAAGATCTGGACAAACAGTCTCTAGAGAAAAGAATGGATGGATGGATGGATGGATGGATGGATGGATGGATGGATGGATGGATGGACGGACGGACAGACAACTTAAAAACCAGTGTTTCCTATTCTGTGCTGTGTCCTAGCACCTCTGCCCGGGATTCTCCAAACTCAGTACCCATCTTAGACCTCTGGTAAGGGAGTGCTACTCTGGACCCCATGCTCTTGAGGACTCTCCCCACTCCACCCCCCATTCCCAGGGGAATCCCTGGGGCCAAGGAGTTGTGCCCACCCAGAATCCACACCTCCACTGGACATTATGTTCTGGGAACGTGGGGTGGGTAGACTAATGGTCCCCCAAAGATACCCACACCCTGGGGTGGCTGGGTGGCTCAGTGGGTTGGGCATCTGCCTTCGGCTCAGGTCATGATCCCCGGGGTCCTGGGATTGAGCCCCATGTTAGGCTCCCTGCTCAGTGGAGAGTCTGCTTCTCCCTCTCCCTCTGCTCCTCCCTCCATTCATGCTTGTGCTCTCTCTCTCTCTCTCTCAGATAAATAAATTTAAAAATATGTATTTTTTTAAAAGATACCCACACCCTAATACCTGGAACTTGCGAATATGTTATCGTACACTGGAAAAGAGACTTTGCAGTTGTGAATAAATGAAGGATCTTGGAAGGGGGGGATTAGCCTGGATTATACGGGTGGACCCAATGTCATCATAAGGTCCTTTCAAGAGGAAGGGGGTGGGGTCAGTCAGAGAAGAAGCTATGGCAATGCTAGCAGAGTTTGAAGGATCCAGGGCCATGAGCCAAGGAATGCGGGCAACCTTGAGAAGCTGCAAGAGGCAAGGAAACAGATTCAGATGGGAGGACAAGGAGTCAGCTGTTCTCCTGGAAGGCAGAATTCTGAACTTGAACTTGTTTAGCCTTTCTGTTTGTTAAGGTCTATTTGTCAAGGCAGGAGGACCCAACATAATGAATGGCTGGCTTGCATGATCGGTAAAGTTTCAGTAGCTCGACATAAGGTATGCGAGCCTCCGTGTGCACTCTTCTGCAAACGTTAGCAATCGGGCTGCCCCAAGTCTCAGCTGAAAAGGCCTGTTACCCCAAATGCCTCCAGTTCACGGTGCTTCAATGGGGAGGGTAGAGGAGAAGGGAGCAGTTCTCTGCAGGGGGTGAAGTGGGGCAGAGAGAAAGAAGAGGTGACTAACGAGAAGGGGCTTCAGTCCTCAGTGTCCGAAATGAGAAGCTTTCGGGGAAAGAAGGCACAGGGAGGACACAGGGAGAGACAGAGATGAGAGACCGTGTAAGCCCCAGGACTCGAGAGAGAGGAAGTAGAGCCCCAGAGAAAGAAAAGAGGCAAGAGAGAGGCTGCCTGGTGGCACACTTACAAACTCCACAAGGGCAGGACTCTGACGGATGGCTTGGCTGGCACAATCTCCATTTGCAACCTCCCCCTCTGCCACTGTCTACAACAGAGCCTGGAAGGCTAACACACTCAGTTTCCCAGCTTCCTTTGCAACTGGGAGTGACCATCCAACACACACTGTGAAATAGCCAGAAGTTCCTCAGAAAGGCATATTTTCCCCAATAAAAAGGCAAGGCCTTGCCAGGAGGAAATCCTCCACCTTTCACTCTTCCTCCTCCTTCTTGCCTGGAATCAAGATATGCAGCACGGCGGGGAAGCAGCTATCTTGTGACCATGAGGCAGTCACAGTAAGCAAGAAGGTCTAGGCACCAAGGTCAACAGAACAAATACATGGAAAAAGTTTGGATCGTTGATGGTATCTGTGAGCTATCGTGCCAGCCTTGGACTTCTTACTGAGAGAGAAAACGAAACCTCTGTCTGTTTAAGTACTCCTAAGGATCCAGGCGACTTACCTCTTTTATTGACTATTGGTATCCAGTGCAGGAACTGGGCCTGGCACAGAGTTGGTGCTCTTTAAAACACTTAAAAATGAATGAATGACATTCATGTTCCCACAAAGCCTAGCTTTCTTTTCTGCTACTGGTTCTGAGAGCCTCCCCTGCATCGCAATGCTTACCCAACCATCTTCCTTACAGCTGGTCGAAGGGGCTTCTTTTCTTGCAGCTCAACAATTCCAATCAAGACAGAAGGGTAAAAAGGAGTGGCTACTTGAGGGGTGAGCTGCTTGGGGAAGGTGATCCAGAGGACGTGATAGCCTCCACAGTAATGCCTGTCCATCTATTCTCCACTTGCCAGCCAGAGGGGGCGTTTACAAACAGAAATCAGATCACACCCCTCCCCTATTTAAAATCTCCCCTCCTCCTGGCTTCTTGCTGCCCTTCGGAAAAAAACCCAACCCTGAACTCAGCCTCGGGGTTCACACCCATGCCCTACTCTCATCTCCCCTCTAACGTCAGCTCTCTGCCATCCAGCCACATTGGCCTTCTTGCTGATCCTCCAATAATCCAAGACCACTCCCACCCCAGGCCATTTGCACACCCTATTTCATCTGCCTGCAAGGCTCTACCTCCACAAGTCCACCTGGCTAGCCCTCACCTCCCTCAGGGCTCTGCTCCACTCACCTCCTCCAAGAGGCCCGCCCTGAACACCTTGGTGAATATATCCCAGTTCAGTCATGCCCTAGCTCGCCACCACTTTCTGGATCATGCTGATTCTTCCGGTTGCCTGTTTCTTATTCATGTCCCACCTCCGGACCCTAAGCTCTCTTGAAAGCAGGGACTCTGGTCCGTTTGTTCACTGCCTGGCGTAGACTAGGTGCCAAGAAGATAAAAGTGTGTTGAATGAAGAAATCAAGGAGGGACAGGGAGAAAGTTACTGTGCTCAGTTTTGTTGTAACCTTGGTCTGTACTTTGGAGCCTGAACTTAACTTTACCCCCAGGATTTGGGAAGCTGAAGTTAAAAAGCAAAACAACCTAATCCAAGCATCCATTCCAGTGAGTTCAGATCTAATGATCATAATGAAAATAACATAGCAGCAAACACCCACAGCGAGCCAGCAGTACTACTACCAAATAATAAACGAACCAATAATAATAGCTATAATAATCCTTATAACAACCTTCTGAGGAGGGTCCTTTTGTTATCCCCATTTTACAGAGGAGGAAACGAAGGCTCAGAGTGGTTGAGTAACGTGCCCAAGGTCACCAAGCCACGGAGAGACAGAGCCAGGATTTGAACCCTGGCAGTCTGGCTCTGGAATCTATACCTCCCAGATCTCTGAAGACACATCACAAGGACCCTGGTTCTGGAAGGGGGAGTTCACTCCCAGCCTCAATGATCTATGCACGCCCTCCAAGCCGACCCACCCCTAGCTGACCTCTGAGCTGATGAGTGGCCCCTGGCCCCTCACTCTCTCCCAGCATCCTCAGGGCCCCCGGCGGCCCCACCCCCCACCCCCCAGCCCGAGTCTGCGCTGACCCTGCCTTGAGCTGAGTGAGCGCTTCCTCTACGCGGGGCTGGTTGTAGCGCACCATATAACTGTGCATGTCGGGGTAGTTGCTGCGGATGTTCTTCTCCGTGGACCCGTTGGGCACCGTCCCAAACTTCAGGGGCGGGTACTGCTCCTGGGGCCGCTGGAACTGGGGCAGAATGGGAAGCTATTAGGGCGCCCCCCTGGGGCCATCTGGGTCAAGAATAGCCTTGACCCAGATGCTCTGTTCTGGGGGACACCTGCCAACTGGCAGGCACCCCAGTCCAGAAGTGTTTCTCCAACGTGCTCACCATGACCCTTTTCTACTCCCACCCAGCAGATCTGTCTGCAGACAGCCACACGTATGCATGCAGACATGTACACACATATGTATTATACACAGTCGGGAGTAATATTGAAATATTTAACACCCGGCATGGCCTGATCATGGTCCAATCTGAAAAGACACTGGCTACAGAGTTCACTGGAGAAGGGTCACAGACGCCTCTGATGTGCCAGGCATTAACCCTTAACTTGCCGGATCACAGGAGGTCCCAGGGGCAGGGGTTGGCACGACAGGGGCTGGAGGCAATTGCTAATTACCAATCCATTCAGAAATAGTTCACTCTTTTTTTTTTTAAGAGAGACAGAGAGAGAACTCGTGCACGTGCAAACCCGGGCGGGGGGGGGGAAGGGGGGATAGGGGCAGAGGGAAAGAGAAAGACCTAAACAGACCTCCATGCTCAGCATAAGCCCAATGCGGGACTTGATCTCACAACTCTGAGATCATGACCTGAGCTGAAATCAAGAGTCAGATGCCTAGCCAACTGAGCTACCCAGGCGCCCCAAAAGTTTACTCTTTTAACAGCAGACATAGCCATACCGGTGTGGGCTGGCTCAATGTCAAGTGTGTATATGACTAAAACAAAGATGCAGACATATTTTCTATTCTACTCCATTAAAAAAAAAAAATGCTTGTTGGGTTGCCTGAGTGGCTCAGTCGGTTAAACATCAGCCTTTGCCTCAGGTCATGATCCCAGGGTCCTGGGATCGAGTCCCGAATTGGGCTCCTTGTTCAGCGGGGAGCCTGCTTCTCCCTCTGTCCACCGCTCCCCCTGCTTGTGTGTACTCTCTCTCTGACAAATAAATAAATAAATAAAATCTTTAAAAAAATGCTTGTTGCAATCCACTGAACTGACTTCTCAACCTTCTTTCTTTTTTTTAAGATTTTTTTTTTTTTTTTGACAGAGAGACACAGCGGAACATAATCAGGGGGAGTGGGAGAGGGAGAAGCCGACTTCCCACGGAGCAGGAGGCCTGATGTGGGGCTTGATCCCAGGATCCTGGGATCGTGACCTGAGCAGAAGGCAGACACTTAATGACTGAGCCACCCAGGCGCCCCTGATTTCTCAACCACCCAGTTAACCACTTTGGTCTCAAAGAGTGCTCTGCAAACCACCAGTCCCCGAACAAACTGTGGTCTGGATGAGGTAAGTATAGAGATCGAGAGAATGAGCACTTAGAGCAATTTTTTTAAAATATTTTTTTAAATTTGTTTATTTTTAAAGTAAACTGTACACCCAATGTGGGACTCGAACTTACGACCCCGAGATCAAGAGTCACATGTTCTACCGCCTGAGCCAGTCAGGTGCTGTACATTTATTTATTTATTTAAAGATTTTATTTATTTATTTGACAGAGAGATAGAGAGCACGAGTAGGCAGAGAGGCAGGCAGAGGGAGAGGGAGAAGCAGACTCTCCACCGAGCAGGGAGCCTGACGTGGGGCTCGATCCCAGGAACCTGGGATCATGACCTGAGCCGAAGGCAGCCGCTTAACTGACTGAGCCACCCAGGTGCCCCAGGCGCTGCGCACTTAGAGCAATCTGACAGAATAATTTTTATGTCTGTTGAAACCACATAAAAATTTGGGTTTGAATTACGCATGTCTTGGTTTTCAGTTTTATGTTTCTCTTCTTGTAATTCATTTCTATCGTATTTTACAAAAGCCTTGATCTCCATTGGAGGAAGTTCAGAGATTAGCCCTTCATCACACTTTGAGAGAAGCACTATCCCAAATGGGATACCCCATTTGGCACTACTGCCCCCCCCAGGACATTTGGGGTCACTCTCTTCTCCTGGGAATATTTAAACAGTTCATTGTGAAACATAACCTTTCTCTTCCAGAACATTCTATTCTACCATTTTGGAATTCTCTTCTGACCTCCCATGTGCCAAATTCTGGCCTGACCTCCAGCCCCAGCCAGCTCCCTGTCTCCCCAAACACACACACCTTTCGATCGCTGAGCCCAGACACGGTGTCCACGTACTCCTCCTGGATCATGAAGGCGGCCAGGTTGGCTGTGTAGCTGGCGAGGAAGATGACGGCGAAGAAGGCCCATACCAGCACCATGATTTTGCTGGTGGTCCCCCGGGGGTTCTCCACGGGCACCGAGTTATTGAACACCAGGGCCCAGAGCAGCCAGATGGATTTCCCAATGGTGAAGGTTGAGCCGCCAGGCCCTGCAGGGGGCCAGGAGGGGGACATGGACCCCAAATCCCTTCTACTCCATGAGGGAGCAGAAAGAACTACGATTCCCAGCAGCCCCCCCCAACGCCTCTACCCCAGGGGCTGTTGGGAAATGTAGTTTTATCTGTGGTCCGGGTGCTCTGAGGTGATGGAGGAAGGGGACTCACGCTTGCCCGTGGCCAAGCTGCGGTTGTAGCCGACGGGACTGAGGTACTCGAAGATGAAAACGGTGACGGCGACCACAGTGAGGCACATGACGAACATCATCACCCACACGGCAGGGCTGTAGGGCTCTGGGGGCAAGGGGGGAGGGGGTCAGGGCTCGGCCAAGCAAAGGACTGGGGGGGACCACAGACACGTGACCAAGGTGCAATCACAGCCTGGACCTTGTCCCACTCTGTCCCCTTCCCAGGCTCCCCATCGCGGGGACAGCCTCATTGCCCACCCAGACCCCTGGGAGACAGTCTGTCTCAAAGAGAGCCAACTCAACCATTTCTGTGGTTTCAGTCACCAGATATACCCTAAATGTTTCCTGAGCCCCAGACCCGAGTCTCCCCCTGGCAGCTCACCACGTTCCACACTGAGGCCAGGACTGACACCCAGGCTCCCCATCCTGGGAGCCCCACCTTCCATCCAGTCACAGCCCGCCCCCCCTTTGCAGCCTCACCCCTCCTTCCTGCCCTCACCCTCCCCAGCCACAGTCTGTTCCCCCCCTCCCTGGCCTGATCACTCTCTCAAGAACCCACTGCTTTAACAGGCCAGAGCTGACAGTTTCAGAGTGAGCCTCACCCTCTCTGCCTTGTCTCCGCCGCTCCCCTGCCAGGGGCACCACCCTGACCCATCGACCAGACACACTCACATCCATGTGTCCTCTCCTCACACTGCCGCTGGGAGTTCACTGACAATAAACCCAAATCACCACTTCCTTGAGATTCCTACCAGGTGATCTGCCCTCCCTAGGCCAAGCCCAGGTGGTCACAGCAGGGTCACCGCCCCAGACTGTCACTGCGGCATCTGGGGACACTCCTGTTGCCTCTGCTGGGCAACGTGGTGGGGCATAAATAGGACCTTGTCACTCCCCTGCTGAAGGCAGGGGCCCCATGTGGTGCATCTCAGGGTGCCCTGCAAGAGACCTTGGTGCCACAGAGATGCTCTAGGCGAAATACACAGAAACCAAACGCAAAGGAAGAGATGTCCCTCCTCCCAGCCTCCCACTCCCAGGAGCTTTGCCCAGATTTCAGAGAGCAAGAGGGAACTGAGGTGAACGGCTGCCCTTGGCCTGATGTGCACTTTTCCTTCTCTTGTCACCAAGTTCAGCGAGATCCCTACCTGATCCACCTCACGGCCACCAACCCAATGGGGTCCGGCTTCCTGACCACACTCCAACCCTGGTTACTCACCTCACCCTCAGTGTCACCTTCCTATCCCACACCCATCTCCTCTCTGCATGGACCTCTGCCTTCTCATGGGCCTCCTGCCCCCACTGTCTCCAGTGGGATATTTTAAAAGCCCAGATCTGATCATATATCCCCTCCCCCACCATCTACAGCTAAAACCTTGGCCACTGCCCTAAGAGTAAAACCCAACTCTCCTACCAGAGCCACCAAGGCCCTGCATCTTCCTCCCCCATGCCCACCCCCAATTCTCTCTCAGCCCTTGTTTCTCACACCCTCATGATCACTCACTGCCCTCTCCAGCCACACAGACTTCTGGCCATTTCCCAAATATTCCACACACATTCCTGCCTTGGGATCTTTCCCCCTGCTGTTCCCTCTGCCTGGAATGGTTCTCCGGCCGGATCTCCAGAGGGGCCTTCCTGCTCTCTCCGGGCAGCACCAACCCCATTCCTCTCCACCTCCCACCCTGGCTTAATTTCTCATACTATTCATCACCACCTGAAATGATGTTGTCCATGTATCGTCTTAAGAGATTATTTTCTGGGGAGCCTGGGTGGCTCAGTTGGTTAAGCGACTGCCTTCGGCTCAGGTCGTGATCCTGGAGTCCCGGGATCGAGTCCCGCATCGGGCTCCCTGCTCAGCAGGGAGTCTGCTTCTCCCTCTGACCCTCCCCCCTCTCGTGTGCTCTCTCTCTCTATCTCATTCTCTCTCTCAAATAAATAAATAAAATCTTTAAAAAAAAAAAAGAGATTATTTTCTGTCTTCCCCACGAGGCCAAGAGCTCTTAGAGGACAGGGGCTTGTGTGCGGGGCCCAGAGCCTGGCATATGATAGGTGCTCAGTAAACACTGAGAAGTGAGTGGAGCACTTACCATGTGCCACTATCATGCTAATCTCTTTTCCTCATCTCATATACAGGGGAAGACTTGGGGTTTGTAGGGCCTGAGGCTTATACAATGTGGAGGGTTGTCTTTAAGAAAAAAAAGAACACAAAATTATAAGTACAAGAATACAAGAGAATGTGTGAGAGAAGGTTCCTTGAAGAGCATGTGCGAGAGAAGGTTCCTGAAGCTCAGTTTCCTTGGCCTCATGGTAAAATGGCTTCTCCCATTTTACAGATTGGGAAACCTAAGGTCAGAAGTGATGCCACCTCACCAGTCACACCGCGGGGACAGGCAATACCAGGATGGGAACTGGGCACACAGCTGCCCCAGTGTTGCCGTCCCGGGGGCCCGGGCTCACCGAGGAAGGCCGAGGGGGACACGGTGCCGTTGCTGCGCGCCACCATGACGCTGATGCCCGTCTCCACGAAGGGCACGGAAAAGTCCACGATCTCAGACCGCTCCTCGTTGATGGTGAGGGAGCCGATGGCCATGTCCGCGCGCTGGTAGAACACCTGGGGTGAGGGCGGGGGGGGGGGGGAAGGACCCTGGCTGGCTCAAGGGCACAGAGGAGGATGGTGGGCAAGATCTGCCCCAGGAGACCAGTGACAAGGTGAGAGAGAGGCTAGGAGGGTGGCGGGGTGGCGGAGGGGGACGCAGAGTGGGGCAGGAAAGGAGGAGGTGAGAGTCGGGGAGCAGGGTTTGGAAGAGGTCGCCCCAGGCCCGGTCATGCTCCCAGAACAAGCTCTCTGGATTTGGGCTCCATCCTCTCGGCCCCGCCCCCCTCGTTTAGGAGGGACACCCCCCTGGCCCCGCCCCCTCCACGCCACAGGTCCCTCCTTGTGGCCCCGCCCCCCAGCCAAGGCCGGTCTCGGGAGTGGCCCCGCCCCCTCAAAGCCCGGGCTTCCTCTCCTTTTGGCCACGCCCCTCCAGCCCGAGAGCTCCGGCGCCGTGGCCCCGCCCCAGCCCGCCCCCTCCCGTCCGGGCGCGCCCCACCTCGCCGATCATGCCGTTCCAGACCCCGTCGATCTTCTTTCCGTGCTTGCCGTTGGTGACCAGGTAGAGGTCGTAGCTGAAGCCGATGGTCTGCGCCAGCCGCTTCAGAATGTCGATGCAGAAGCCCTTGCAGCACCGCTTTTCCGGGCGGGGGGCGTCCGGAGGAGGGCTGCGGGGAGCGAGCAGGCTTGGGGATGCTGGGGACCCCCCCTCCACTTCAGACTCTCCCATGAGATGAGGGTATGGAGGGAGAGACAAGAAGCAGCTAAAACTATGATTAGCGCTTTCTGGGGAAACTGAGGCTCAAAGGAGTTCCGTGACTTGTCCAAGGTGACTAAGCTGGAGGGCTCTGTGGGTTCTGAGTTCCAAGGGAGGAGGGGCCGGGGGCCAGGGCTGCTAGGCTTCAGGGGATTTGGAAGCCGGAACTCCTGGAGCCGGGGCTGTCACCTGTGGGTGCGGTTGAGCTGGCTCCGGCAAGGCACGGAGTCTCGGATGCAAGTGCCGCTGATGGGGTCAGCGGGCTCCACAATGACAAAGGGCCTCTCCTCCAGTGTGGCCACGGTGAGGTGCTGCGTGTCATCCACGGGCTGCAGGAAGCGGCCGTAGCGGGACCACAGCGGGTACTTTAGGCGGAGAGTCTGCTGCTCCCAGCTGCCCACCTTGGCCAAGAGAAGGGCACTCAGGCTCCGGGGCGGGGACTTTGCAGGATGTCCTGGCCATTGTGGCCCTCCTTCCTCAGAACCCGGGGCTCCCAGCTCCTTCTCCCTTAGATCCAGGAGTCTAGGCCCCATTTTCCCCCTCACCTTAGAACCCACGGGTCTGGGCTCCCACTTATTTCCCCCAGGACCTAGAAGTCCGGGCTCCTTCCTCCCTCAGAGGCCAGAGTCCTCATCTCTGTCAGGACCGAGGTGTCTGGGTCCCCACACCCTCTCCCTCAGGACCTGGGACTCCAGGCCCTCTCCTGTGCCTGAGGTTGGGGCTGGGACTCACCACCTCCCAAGTCCTGTCTCTGGTGAGGGAGATGACCACCAGAGAGGGGTTCACCAAGAAGCCATCCTCATTGAAGGAATAATCCCGGTTGTCCCAGGTAATATTCATGAAGTACCTGCCCAGGAGGAAGGGAGGGGACATGTGGGTAGCTAGACTGGACCTAAGTGGCTGAAGGCAGAGATAATCCCCTTCCTACTGACCAGCCCCGGCCCCTAGCGGGAATCTCTCCCCCAAGATCCCGAACACCCAAATATTCCCCTTCTTTGTTCAGCCGTCTCTGCTCGATACCCAGCACCTCCTGGACTGGGTCATAGACCCTCAGCTTGAGTTTGAGGTCCTCTTAGAGACCCTGTGTGTTCTGGCCCCATCTGCCTGCGCAGCCCCATCTCTGATCTCTTCCTCCCCTCAAACTCCTTCCACCCCAAGCCCTTTCTGTACCCCACCAACACTGAATGCAAAGTGTCCCCGAAACGTATCACACGGCTTCCTATTTCTTGACCATTGTAGGTGCTGTGCTTTCTGCCTAAAAAATGCTTTTTCTGTCCCTTCTCACCCTGATTGATTCTTTTGTCTTCAAGATTCAGCTCAAGTGTCCCTTCCTCTGGGAGAAGCCCCAGAAGGTCTCTGGACTCCCAGATAATCTTCATGATGCAATGGTACCTGTACCATGAATGCCTGTCCCCAGGCCCTGGTCACTGCACTGGACACTCAACTGCGATCCTCACCTCCTCACTCCTCCCCCCGCCGGCCACCATCCGCAAGTGCCACCTTCCTGCCCCCAGGATCTCTCCATGTCATCCCTCCTCTCCATCGCCACAGACCCCCTGGACCCCAGCCCAAGGCTCCTGCCTGGCCCCCAACCTCCTCCAGTCTGTGCCACACTCCACCCCAGAGGCATCTTTCTGCATGCAAAACTGACACCACTCCTTTCCTGCTCACAACCCACCCATGGCTCCCCAGTGCTCCAGAACAAAGTCCGGCCTCTCAACCTGGTATTTGAGGCCCTTGTGGCCTGGCCCCGTCTACCCCCACCCCCAGCCTCATCACCCCCAATCCCAATTCTCCTACCTTCATCCCCTCTGAGCTGTTGTGGTCCCAACCTGCCTGAGTTTCTCTCCCCTCTGGGCCTTTGCAGGATGCTGTTCCCCCCCCTGCCTGGAATACTCACTATTTTTGGAGAACTCCTAACCACTCTTAGAATCAAATCCAAACACCTTAGACTGGCCAAAATGCCCTACATGAGCTTGGGCCTACACGGGCCTCGCTTGCTTCTCCATAATACCCTGTCCCCCTGCCTTGCTCACTAAGCTCCAGTCACAATGGGTTTGTTTCAGGCTCCCGAATAGGCAATTCCAGCCCGAGTGAGCGACTCTGCACCTGCTGTCCCCCTCCCTTCTCTTCATTCAGATCTTCCAAAAGTTGGCTCTTTTTCTTTGCCCATTTTTTTTTTCTTACCTCCAAATTTCACCTACTCAGAAAGACCTTTCCGGATGACCTCACCTAACCTAACACCCTGGGTATTTCTTATCACATTCTACCTCTTTTATCACCTGCTGGTATTTCTTCTTATCTTGTTTGTTCACTGTTTGTCTCCCCTGTGAGACTGTCGGCTCTATGAGAGCAGGGACCTTGTTCAACACCATGTATCCCTGTGCCCAAAGCAGTGCTTGGCACGTAGCAGACTCTCAAAAAGACTCATTCAATAAACGAATGAATGGGCCATTCATCCATCAGGTCTCAGCTTCGATGTCTCCTCCTCTTGGAGACCTCCCTGACCCCGTAGGCTGACCCGTGACTGAGTAGCCTAGTTTGGGAGGCTGATTGGAGCCAGTGAAATTCGTCTTTTGGGAAGACGTTGGCTGTGAGATTTGGGGGTGGGGTGGGGAAGGGGTGGAAGACAGGATGGGATGAAATTATGAGTATCAGCAGAGAGCAGAAATTCTGGGCAAAGAGTGAGTGCTAAGAGAAGAACTGGACAGACTCTGGGAATGGCAGGTCAGACAGAGACAGGGGTGGGGAGAGTAAGAGGGAGACAATCAAAAAGAGATGAGGGCGCCTGGGTGGCTCAGTTGGTTAAGCGACTGCCTTTGGCTCAGGTCATGATCCTGGAGTCCCGGGATCGAGTCCCGCATCGGGCTCCCTGCTCAGCGGGGAGTCTGCTTCTCCCTCTGACCCTCTTCCCTCTCGTGCTCTCTCTCATTCTCTCTCTCTCTCTCTCTCAAAATAAATAAATAAAATCTTTAAAAAAAAAAAGAGAGATGAAAGAGTAGCTGGTCCCCAGGCTTGCCCTCAATTCCTGGCGTCTGGGTTTCTGTGCGTGTTTATCTTCCCAATAAACCCCCTTTTCCCTTAGGAAACTTGAATGAGACTCTGCTTCGGGCAACCAGAAACATCCTGGAGCAGACAGTACGCCTGCCGGTGCTCCCACCATGCCCAGGGCCACCTCCATGATTGCGAGCATCACACTGTGCTGTCATTATCCCGTCCCTGTCTGCCACCCCTACAGGACCCTGTGTTCTTTTAAGAGAAGTCCATGGTCTTATTCATCTCCGTGTTCCCAGCGCCCAGCACGAGCCCTAGTTCCTAGCAGGCGCTCAGCATTTATGAACGAGGGATGCTTTTTCTCACCTTCTTGTCCCCGGATCCTGTCCCCCAAGTCACCGATTCTCAATTCTCCCCTCGCTTTTCTTCTCCACCGGTCACCTCTTTAAGCTCAGCTCGTCCTCATTTCGGGCTTAAAGGCCTCTCCCTCCACGGTTCCGTCCCCAAACTCATCAATTTCTTACTGCCAACGCTTCCTACGGTGGCGATGCTATTTCCCACCAAAACCTGTTCTCTTCTAAAACAACAGAGCGTACGCCGGGCACACACCTGGAATCCGCACTTCCCAGTCCTCGGTGCCGTTAAGCCCAGGCCCCATGCAGGTGAGACCTTCAGACTCTTTAACAATCGGTACAGCGCAAGCGCTAGCCAATCAGAATCGACGTCTAACCAATTTGCACGCGACGCGCCTGTAAACAACCAATAAGGCAGCCTTGGCCGCCCCACGCCATCCCCCTTGTCTCACCTGCCCGGAAGGAAATTGCTTGCTCCCCACTTTCTCTCTCTCCCGCTTTCTCAGACGTGCGGCCGACCCCGCTTCGACAGCGCAAAGGTGGCGGAGCAACGAGGTGGGAGGGTCCTGGGTCCCCGACTGACCACGTGGAGCAACAGAGCCTCCTGAAGACTCATCTCTGGATTTTTTTTTTTTTTTGAAGATTTTATTTTTAAGTGATCTAGGGGCGCCCTCGGTGGCTCAGTCGGTTAAGCGTCTGCTTTCGGCTCAGGTCATGATCCCAGGCTCCTGGGATCGAGCTCCGCATCAGGCTCCTTGCTTGGCGGGGAGCCTGCTTCTCCCTCTGCCTGCCGCCCCCCCGCCCCCCGCTTGTGCTCTCTCTCCCTCTAATACATAAATAAAATCTTTTTTTAAATTTTTTTAAGATTTTATTTATTTATTTGAGAAAGAGAATGAGATAGAGAGAGAGCATGAGAGGGGGGCGAGTCCGAGGGAGAAGCAGACTCCCTGCTGAGCAGGGAGTCCGAAGCGGGACTCGATCCCAGGACTCCAGGATCACGACCTGAGCCGAAGGCAGTCGCTTAACCAACTGAGCCACTCAGGCGCCCTAAAATCTTTTTTTTTTTTTAAGTGATCTCTACACCCCCACGTGGGACACGAACTCACAACCCCGAGTTGGAGAGTCGCACGGTCCACCGACTGAGCCAGCCAGGGGCCCCATTTCCAGATTGTTAAGTGAGAAAGAACAACTTCTATCTCGTTCTGGCCACTGAATTACTGGGGCATTTTGTTACTGAAATTCAGCTTATACTCTAGGGAATTTCATCATACCTGAGGTGCCATCAAGTACAGGGTGTATCTCTAGTTTTATGTACCACAAAGAAAGAAAAAAGTGCTGCCAATTAAGCCATGAAAAGCCATTAATCGTACGGTATATCTTGATTTCAAAGACATTAAACTGTGGGAAAAAATTCATCTTAAAAATCAGGAAATGTTGTTAACACACTCACCGTGTCTCGGGTGCTTTTTCCCAATTACCTGACTTAACCCCGTGGCAGGAGACCCAAGTATATCCATTTTACAGAAAAGTACACCGAGGCTCCGAGAGGGGACGTGACCCATTTGAGGCTGCTCAGTCAGTGAGCACCCCAGGCAGTCAGGCTCTGGAGCCTTCCCACAGCCCTCCTACACCAACCCCACTCACCGATGCAGACTCTCCCCTCTGTGGGTGCGGTTCTGGGCACGGCAGTCATGGCCGAGCTCGGGCAGGAAGCCATAGTCACGCAGCAGAGCCTGGGCACCTCTGGCCACGACGGCCACACCAGCGGCCACACGCCGGGCCAGGTCATCCCGCCAGCCAGCCGAGCGCACTGCAAACAGCCCGGCAGGCAGTGGGGCGCCTCCTGGCAGAAGAGGGGGCTCTCCAGGGGCGCCTGAGCCTCCGCCTCCAGCCAGCTGGGGCCCCACCATGAACCAGACGTAGCCGGGCCCCGTGAGGCCAGCCTCCTCAGCTGCCCGGAACACGGGCTCGGCTTCTTCCCGGGCACAGAAGAGCAGGCGGATCTGCGCGCTGACGCTGCGGAGCTGGGCACCCAGCACGGCCTCGCCTGCTCCAGGGTCCAGCGTCAGTGCCCCGCGGTGCTCCCAGCCCACCATGCTGCCATCAGTCAGCACCTCGATGTAGGACAGGAAGGCCCGGTGGCCGGGGGCACGCGTGGTCACCGCTACAAAGGATGTCCAGTCGTACTCCTCCAGCACCTCAAAGATGACCTGGAGCTGCTGCTCTGTGGAGGAGCCCAGCTGCAGGAAGGTGGAGCCCTTCTCCTGTGGGGGAGGAGGAGGATGTCAAGCGTCCGGATGTGGAGACCAGAGCTCCCAGCAACCAGTAGGGGTCTTCAGTTCCCAGTGGTCAAGACAGATCTCATCTCCCAGCAACTGATGAGGGCATCCCAGCTCCCAGTGGCCACCAGTATGTCACGGCTCTCAATATGGCAACCGACTAGCTGTTCACCAAACCGGTCTCCTTTCCCTGCTGGTGCACAGAGCTAGGCCTGGGTTAGGTTTTGCCATGTGGCTGAGTTCTAGACTCATCCGGAAAAGCTCTCCCCCATGCACCTTACTCTCTTCCCTGTCTGAGAACAGACGCAGAGGCCCCAGGAGAGAACTCCGAAGTCCTAGGGGGTAACAGAGCCATAAGAGGGAGGAGACTGAGTCCCTGAGTCATCACTTGGAGGAGAACCACCTCTTGTCAGGAACACCTGTTTGGATTTTATATGAGTGAGAAACAACCTTCTATTGGGTTGAGCCACTGAGATGTGGGGGTTTATCTGTTATAGCAGCTAACATTACCCTAGAACACACACAGCATCCAGGGAGGAAACTACAGTCCCCAGCATCCACTGGGAGGGACTACATTTCCCAGCATGCAACAAGGGTGCCGAAGATGCCATCTCTCCCAGCAGGAAGCAGCTTTGCTGAGTGGATTTGCCCTTCTCTGGTCTTCCTCCTGCCTCCCTGACTTCTCCTTCGGTCAGAATTTTAAACGCAGAAGTGCTCTAGTGTTTTCTTTCCTTCTCTGTCCTCCCTCCTTGGTGATCTCATCTAGACCCATGTGTTTAAATACTGTCTTCTGTGCTATCCAATATGGTAGCCAGTAGCCACCACATGTCAAGTGCTCAAGAGCCACACGTGGCTAGTGGCCATCATACTGGACAGAGCAGATATAGACCATCTTCCCCATTGCAGAAAGTTCTATTGCCCCGCACTGAATATGTTAATGGCTCCTCTCCAGTCACTGTACCTCTCTCGTGCACTCCGGACAGACCTACCCCCCTTTCTACTCAACATCTCCTCTTGGATTTCCAAGAGGCATCTCAAAATTAGCATGTCAAAACCAGAATTCTCCATCTCTCCCTCACCCCAACCCCCCGCCCCAGCCTCAAACCTCTTTCCCATCTTCCTTTCCTTATTCACCCAGCTGCTCGGCTCCCAAGGCTAAATCATCCTTTCCCTCTCTTTCCCTCACGCCCAATCCAGGCCATCTTCTAGTCTTCCCGGCTCTCTGTTCAAAACATAACCCCATTCCTCACTACTGCCCCATCACAACCCTCATTGACCACTGTCTTGCTTAGACAAGTGTAACAGCTTCCTGACCCCTCTCTGCTAACGTTTTTGCATCTTCCAGTCCATTCTCCATCAGCAGCCAAAGTCATCTTTTCAAAACATTAATTGGATCACATCCCTTCTTGGTTGAAAACCTTCCAATACTTCTACCTGAGAGTCAAAGCCAAAGTCCTCACTTTGGCCCACAGGCCCTGGATGAACTGGCCCTCGTTGCCTCTCTGGGCCTCATCTCCCACCACCTCCACCTCTCTGTTCTTCCTCAAACACATCAAGTTCCTTCCAGCTTCAAGGGCTTGGCCCTTCGCTGTTGCCCTTCGTGGGGACACTCTCCCCCAGCTCCTCCATGCTGGACCTACCCCTCCTCATTCCTCAGGTCCAGCTCAGTTGCCACCTCCTCAGGGAGGCCTCTCCTGACTGCCATCCTACCCTTCCTCCAGGACAGATCTCACGATCTGTTATTTGCCTTCTGTCTCCCCATTAGAATGCAGGCTCCAGGGCGCCTGGGTGGCTCAGTTGGTTAAGCGACTGCCTTCGGCTCAGGTCATGATCCTGGGGTCCCGGGATCGAGTCCCACATCGGGCTCCCTGCTCAGCGGGGAGTCTGCTTCTCCCTCTGACCCTCTTCCCTCTCGTGCTCTCTCTCATTCTCTCTCTCTCTCTCTCTCAAATAAATAAATAAAATCTTAAAAAAAAAAAAGAAACCAAACGTATAAAAAAAAAAAAAAGAATGCAGGCTCCATTAAGAGCAGGGATCCTGTCTTTTTTTTTTTTTTTTTCCTCATCACAACTGTATTCCCCGGAACCTAAAACAGCCCCGGCACGGAGTCAGCCCTCAATGAGAAGAGGAAATGGACTTTCTTCCTAGGTGTGTGCCTATGGTTATGTGTGTAGGAGATAGGGCAGTTGTCCTGAGTGGATGAGGTCTCCCAGCATGCAATGAGAATCCTGAGAGGAACTCATCCTTGGCAAGTGGAGATATGCTGAGGGGACCACGTTCCCAGCATTCCATGGAGGCACGATGGCCCTGTGAGGACCCCTCTTTCTTCCATCCAGAGATACTAGAGCGACTACATTTCCCAAAAGGCAACGAGTGTACACTGAGCGGGCCACAGTTCCCAGGTGACAATAAACAGCGGCCCACACTTCTCAGCAGCAATGGAGGCAAGAGGAACCACATCTCACGGTAGGCCATAAAGGCGGCAGCCACGGAGTAGTACGTCCACCCCGAAGGTGATATGCTTGCCTATCTCTGGACAACTCCTGTCTAAAAGATGAAAGTTGGCCAGAGGCCCTTCCCAGAATGCTCTGGACAGGAGAGAACTACGAGTCCCAGGATGTAACTGTGACCTAGTCACGAAACACCCGAAGCCACCGGCCCTCACAGCGGGGAACAGGTGGGGACTTAGGCTCCACCCACTCAGATGGCCCCATTCGCCCTAGTACCACCTCGGTTACACAGGCTCCACCCCTAAACAGGCCATGCCCCTTCCCAGGCACCTCCTCCTAACCTATCCCTTCTCCTCCTCAGCGCATACACCAGGCTTGGTCCAGTTCTTTCCTTTTCTACCAGAAGTCCACTCCAGCTGGTGCCCTCGGGCGGCCGGCCTCTTTCCAGGCCACAGCCGGCTCCAGCCTCTTGCCCCCTCTCTCCCGCAGGCTCCTGGGTTTGACTTCTCATTCGCTGGGCCTGCCTTTCTGGTGGGTCTTCATCCTCCCGGGCCCACCCTCCAGGTTCTCGCTTTCCACGCCTTACAACTGGGGCATGCCTCTGCCCAAACCCCACTGCCGGGGCTGCTTCCCACTTTAGACCCCGCCCCTTCGGTCCAGAGCGTAGGCCCTGCCATCTTCCTGACCTCCCTCTGCACCACCTCACCAGCTAGCTCTCCCCTTCCCTGACAGCCCTCGCCCCACTTCCTGGCTGCCTGGTCCTGCCCTTCCCCAGCCCATCTACGACTCCTCCCCTTCTCCCACTCCTCCTTTCACCGGAAGGCTCCGTCCTCCTACCTGGACTTCTAGAGCCCTTGCTCAGCTGGCCGAAACCCTCCCCGTCCCTCAGTACCCTGACCTCCGCGTACCCTCTTTCATGGCCCTCTCCCTGCCTTCCTAGCTCCTGACCAGACCTCACCCCTTCCTGAACCCCATTCCTTTCCAACTGACTCCTCCCTTGCTGATCCCCAGATCCCACTCCACCCTCAGAGCAGGCCACCTCTGGCGGGTCCCTTTTTGTTCCCAGTCCCCGCCCCTCGCTGCCCTTCCCCGCCTCTTCCCGATTCCATTCCCTCCCCTGACTCCCTCCTGCCGCAGACCCTCAACCCTCCGCATACTCTGACCATGACTGGCCTCTCTCTCACCCTGCTCCTAGGTCAGTCCCCAGGCAGGCGCCCAGGCTCCGCTCAGCCTGTAGGCCACGCCCCCAAGTCAGCCCCGCCCCTCACCTAGCCCCTAGCCTACCTTCCGGCCCCACTCCGTCCCAGATGCGGACCCTCAGGCTTGGCCCCGCCCCCCCGCGGCCGGCCCCGCCCCCCGCAGGTCGCGCGCACCTTGGGCGTGAGCACGAGCGCGGCGCCGCCGTGCACGGCCACGATGGGCAGCGAGGTCTGCGCCGACAGGAAGTCGAGGATGGGCGCGACGGCGGGCGCGCGCGAGTCGTCCTCGAACACGACGCCGTGCACGCGCAGCCCCGACAGCAGGTCGCAGAGCTGCAGCACGAGGCTGCGCGGGTCCGAGCCGTTGAGCACCAGCGCCACCGGTCGCACGTCCAGGCCCGGGCTGCGCACGGCCGCCGCCACGGCCGGGCCCAGGCGCGCCGCCTCGGTCGCGTACGCGGGCCCCGAGAACACGAGCGCCACGTTGAGCGGCCGCGCCCCGCCGGGGCCCCCGCCGGGCCCGGCGGCCCCGCCCGGTCCCGGCGCCTCCTCCGGGAACGGGCTGGCGCAGGCCAGCGCCAGCAGCAGCAGCATCTTAGCGGGGCCCCGAGGGCCGCGGGGGCCACCGGCACCGCGCATCGCCTGCGGGCCCCTCCGGGCGGCCTCTGACAACGGGAGAGCGGGCGCACAGAGCCGGGGAGGCCCGGGAGCGGAGAGGGACACAAATGAGAGGAAGACACAGAGATGGGGAGACAGAGACAGGGGACAAGATATAGAGAGACACGGACAGGAGGAGATACAGGGAGGGAGAGAGGCAGGGGTAGGGAGGAGAGGGAAAGGTTGCGATATAGAGACAGGGAGCCACAGAGAGAGACACACAGGCAAAGGGAGAGACAGAGACAGAGCGAGGCAAAGGGAGAGACAGAGAGACAGGGAAAGTGGAGGTGGGTAATGGGGACAGAGAAGATGCAGAGATCGGGAAAAGAGACAGACAAGGCAGGAATGGGTAACAGACCCGCAGAGATGAGATCAGAACAGGAGCCCAGAGAGAAAGGGGGAGATGGCAAGAGAGATGAACACAGCCACAGAGAGATGGTCAGAGAGAGACAGGGACAGGAATAAGGAGAGAGATGGAAGGAGAAACAGAGGCGAGGATGGAGAGGCTCAGGGTGACAGAGACAGGGAGAGGAAGGAGGCAGAGAGAGAGAAGACCGAGTGACAGAAATAGGGAGGGAATGATAGGGAGGCAGGGAGAGATGAAGAGACAGAGAAAGACAAGGAAGGCGGGAGAGATAAGAGAGACGAGAAAGTTGGACAGAGATAGGAAGACGGAAAGAAGCCAGAAAGATGGAGACGGACCCCACGGCCACCAAGAGACATGGACACACAAGAGACGGAGAAACAGGCAGAACAGATTGAGGGAGGAGGCAGGCAGAGCAGACAGAAAACATAGGAAGACAGAAATAGCGAACCAAGGCAAAGATCAAGACCCCCACCAGGGAGGTGCCCGGCACAGACATGAAAGGGAGGCGGGTGGCAGGAGGGATCAAAAATAAAAGGAAGAAAAAGTGAGGGAAAAAAATGAGAAAGGGAAAAGGGGTCAGGTGTGTGGGGGGGAGAGAAAGAAGAGAGAAAAAGAAATGAGCGGGGCATCCCAAGGAGAGAAAACACCCCCAGGACCTTACCTCCCACCTGACCACAACCCCCAACCTGTTTTTGTCCCCTTACTCTGTCCCTACCCCTGCCCCCCCTTCTCAATGAGAGCTAGAAAGAGAGTCATGGCCCAGGCTGGGTTGCAGGGTTGGGGGGCACAGCTGTGGAGAGCTGGGGGGCGGGGGTCCCTGGCTCCCAGCCCAGAGCAATTTAGTAAATTAGAGGAAATACAGCCTCTCTTCCTGTGCCCCCTGTTGAATACTAGCTGCCTGGGGTGGTCGGGCTGGGAGCCCAGACTCCTGGCTCCCGGGTCTGAAGGAGGAGGGCACTGGGGGCCTGGACTCCTGGTTCCCAGAGAGAGATTAGAGCCTGCACTAGGGGCTTCCTAAAGGGGTGAAGGTCCAGATGGGGAAGAGTTCTCTCTTGGCTGTCAATCAGGCTTCTGTCCGGTTGCCATGGTAGCGCAGGCCTCCTCTACCCCACAAATAGCCAGGGTGGGGGAAAGGCCCACACCCCTTCCCCTGCCTAGAGGCCTCGCTCCCCTCCTTGCAGCACAACACCTGCCTTCCCAGGGATCCTGGGCCACTGTCTCCCCAGGGATGGGGGTGGGGACTCCTAGTGTGCCTGTCCCTCCCAAATCTTGGCTCCCCTGGCCCCTCCTCTCCTCTGCCCTTCCCCAAGCAGCTGGCTCAATCAGCGCTCAGAATAGCCCCCCCCACCCCAAAATAACCCACAGCTGTGGCCTGGCCCCTGCGGGGTTAACACTCACTCACTCCTCCCTTCCCGGTGGCTTCGCATCCCTCAGACCCTCCTCTGCCTCTCTCAGACCCACCCCTGCTTGGCCTCCGTCCTTGGGGACCCCAGGGTCCTACTCCCTGCTGAGGCCCAGGAGGGCAACTCCAGCCCCACCCTTCTTAGGAAGCTGGATGCCCAGTCCTCTCGTGGGAAGGGCGGTCTCCCACCCCTCCAGGGTCTGAGTAGTGGCATCCCCAGCCGCTGGGAGACTCTGGAGGCCCAATTCCCAGAACCTATGCCCTCAGGGATTACATTGCCCAGGCCCCCAATCTCCACCTCATAAGTCTCAGTCCCCAGATCCATTCCCATGGGGCCCAAGAGCTGGACCCCCCTCGTCCCCTGCCCTGTCAGAGACTCAGGAGACTGGGCCCCCAGCCCCTTCTTCCCTCAGGCACAGAAGCTCTAACTTCTCCCATGAAGACTCAAGAATCTTGGCTCTCAGCACCCTTCTCCCCCCAGGACCCAGGAGTCCAGATGCTCAGTTCTGTTCTGTCTTTTCCCAGGACCCAGGGGTCTTGGCCCCCTCCGGCCCCCTAAACTGGGTGCCCAGCCTCCTCTATGCCCAGAAACCAGGAATCCAGGCCCATAGCCATTTCTTCCCTTAAGAACCCCCTTTTCACCTCAAACCCCATCAGTCCCAACATCCTGGGAGCCCCCCCATGCCCCGCCAGCTTCAGCCTCCTGTTCACCCCACTCAGGTCCTTTATACAGCACGGGCTGTCCCCCAGCTAAGAAGGAGGAGGATGCCAGAGATTCCTGGGGTGTCCCTGTCTCCATCACTCCCCCCCAATCCATCACAGAAGAGAGGAGAGGCCACTTTGATCAACAGTCCGCCCCCCCCCTCGCATCGTGCTGCAGACGGCATCCCGTTCTACCCACCCCCCAACACCGTTCTCTCCCCACCCTAATCCTGGTGCTCAGAACAGGCTGGAAGGGTATTCCAGAACCTTGAGGAAGGGGTGGTAGCTTGGGGCGAGGGGTGCTTGGGGCCTGGATGCCCTCAAGGTCCTTGGCGGGGGTATTAATAGCAGACTCATAGCTCTGAGAAGGGAGGGGAGAGTGAGAGGAGAGAGGGAGAGGAACGGCCAGCGAGGGGGGGGACCAATGCGGGCAGGGGGACGCAGAGGGAAGATGGGATGGAGAGATGGGGGATAGAGAGGGAGATGGGGTGTCAGGTATGCGGGGCTGGGGAGAGGGTGCGGAGTGTCAGAGAAATGGGGGTTAGGAGGTCTGAGGAGTAGAGACCCAGGAAAAAGGGGCTCAGAGAGGGAGACAGAGAGGGGGTGGAGGAGAGTCTCCAGGAGACAAGGGAGCTGGCGAGGGGCAAAGACCCCCGCTCACCATGCAATCCCCCTCCTTCCCTGGGGCCCCTGGCCAACTTTCCCTGTCCTAGATCTGGGGGTCCCCATTCCCACCCCCACCCCCGCATCCCCTACCCCGGCCTTACCTTTTCATGACCCTGTTCTGTGGGGGGTACTGCGGGGGGGCAGGACCGGAACCCAGAGTCCAGAGACCCGAAGATTCGGCGGAGGGCTCAGGGAACCGCTGGGGGGGCCAAGCCCCGGGGCGGCGGCGGGGGGGGCCTCCTGCCAGTCGCCGGCTCCGGCTCTCCCTCCTGGTCTTCGGTCCGTCCTGCCTGCCCTGTCTGTCCCCCAAGGTTGCGGCCACCCCAACTAGGCGAGGGCGCTGCTACACATGTTGCGCTGGAAGTTGGGCCCCGGACATTGCGGAGGCTGTCGGGGTGTCCTCTCGCCGCCCCGACCCCGTGGGGATCCCCCCTCCGCCCACCTGGGGTGCCCCCCTCTGCCGCTTCAGCCCCGGCTCCTCCCCCCAGTCCATGTGTCCGGTCCCGCCTCTCCCTGGCTCATTCGCACCCCCACCCTTTGTGCCCTCAGCGGCCCCCCCCTCCAGCGTCTGTGTCTGTCTGTCTGTCTGGGTCACCTCTGAAGCCGGTGGCTGGTGTGTGTGTGTGTGTGTGTGTGTGTGTGTGTGTGTGTGTGAGAGAGAGAGAGGGGCGGGAGGCTGCCTGTCTGGGGAACTGCTTGCCCCTTCCTCGCTTGGCCACCTCCAGAACCCCCCCCAGCACCCCCACACTCAAACCCAGGCAGAAACACACACATACACACACGCACACACGCACGACCTCACTTCCCTGGGATTCCCCCTCAACACCCCCGGAGCTTGAGGAGGGAGCCACACACACACACACAGGGGGGTCCAATGGGGGCCGGGCTGCCACTGCCGTCCGCGGCTGTTCGGACAGACAGGAGGACACAGGCAGCTGGGGACGCCAGACGCCCGGCCGGACGCAGGCAGGAGGCACAGAGTCCAGGTACACACCATCCATCCGGGTTTGGGGGGCTGGGGCGGGGGGAGGAAACCGGGGGGGGGGACCCACGACACCCAGGCAGGAAGCTCAGAGTCGGTACAGACAGACAGACCCCTCCCTCCCTCCCTCCTTCCCTCCGCCGCCGCAGCCCTTACAGACACACCCCCCCTTCACCAGCCCAGCCTCAGACACCCTGACACACAGATCCTCACCGGGCAGATGGCAGACGCTCGAGAGACCCCTGGGGGCCGGGCGGACCCACCCGGGCCGACACCCCCCAGCTGGGCACTGGTGGCCGAGGGCGGCTGTGGGTGGAGGGTGGCGGCGGCAGCCGCTGCTTGGAGGACCTGGAGCGGGAGGGACTCGCACACTCGCTCTGTTCTCGCACACACACACTCACTCGGGATGCGATTAACATTCAGTCCCCGTCCGCCCCTGCCGGGAGACCCACAGCCCCCCCTCCTGGCCTCCCTGGGGACCCCTCCTCCTGCCGGGGCTGGGGGAGGGGGGCGCCCCCCACCCCCAGCTCCCAGCCTCTGCCTCCCTCCTGGGACATGAGAATGAGGGGTCCGCAAATAAAAAGGGAGGAAGTGTGTGTTGAGTGGTGGGGCGGGTGGGGGGGGGTTGGAGAGAGGCAGGGACTCAGAACCCAGCCTTGACATAGCAGCTTCCGCCCTGGACTCCAGGGCCTGGGGGCTGCTGACTTCTGCCCCCTCCCCACTTTGAGGCTTGAGAAGCAGGAGGCCATTCCTAGACTTCAGTCTCCGCCGCACTAGGACCCATCTTTTGGTTTCTCTTGCCCCAGAAGGCCAGGCATGCAAACTAGGTCTCCATCATGAAGCCAAGAGTCCAGGCTCCCAGCCCCCTCCTCTCTCAGATCCAGCAATTCAAGTCCCCAGCCCCCTCCTCCCTCAGATCCTAAAGTCCAGGCCCCAGTGCCTCCTGCCTCAGGTCCCCTCCTCCAGGCCCCGTCCCTCTTGGGCACTCAGACAACCTGACCCCCCAGCACAAACCCCCCTCAGGGGCCCACGAGTCCGAGACTCATGGATATCACCCTCAGGCACCCAGTCCATCCAGGCCTCTGAGAAAACCAATACCACTTCTGTTCCTGAGGCACCCTGGCCTCCGTCACCCATGGGTACTCAAACGTCCAAGAGGAAAGCAGCTGTCTGCTTCCTCCTAGACACAGCCTGACCCCGGAGGGGCCCTCAGGCCAGCTGCCCAGCCCGTGCCCCTCATGCCCCAGAGGCTGGGCCCAGCATTCTCTAAAGTGTGGGGGTGGGGTGGAGTGCAGGACACCTGGGCCCCTGCGGGCAGAGCCCAGGAGAGAGAGAGTGTGTGTGTGTGCGCGCGCGCGCGCGCGCCTGTGAGGAGGCAGGGCTGTGGGGGGCTGACTCCAGAGTCTGGGAAAGCAGGGGTGAAGACTCACATTCCCGAAAAAGAAGAGGCTGGGGGCCTGAATCTTTGGGTTCCAGAGGGAGGAAGGGATTGTGCATCTAGGTTCCCGGGCCAGGATGTTGGAGACACAAGTTGGTGGAGGGGGGACCCTAAGTCTCAAGGAAGCGGGGGCACATTCTTGGGTCTGAGGGAAGAAGGGGGCTGAGTCCCCTTCCAGAATGGCTCAGACCCAGAAGGGCTCCTGGGTCCTCGGGGATGAAGGTGCTGAGGCGCCAGACTCCTGGGTCTGAGGGAGGGGCTGGGGGCTGCTTTCTGGTCTTTTGGGTGGACTGGAGCTGGAGGCCCCTGAAAGGCCAGCGTCTGGGGCCCTGTCTAGGATTTTTAAAAAAGCTCGCAGCCCAGCCTCCCGAGTCCCTGACAACGGCAGAGCCTGGGAGGCTGAGCCGCCACCCTCGCAAAGGCACAGGCCGCCTGGAGGAGCAGGTGCCGGACTTGGACTTGGGAGTTTCAGATCCCATCGACCCCACAAACTCCTAGCAGGCAGCCTTGGGGTGCCTTTAGCGCCGATTCCCCGCAAGCCGGGAGGTGCGGGCATAGGGGGCGCCGGAGAGCCGGAACTCCGCCCTCGGGGGCGGAGCCTCCTGCCGGACTCCTCCCCCCTCCCGCCCTCCTCCCTCTTCCCAGCTCCTGCTCGGCCACCAGCTCCGGCTTCGGTTCCCCCTCCCAGAGCCCCTTCCCCGGAGCGGAGCCCACCCGAGGGCCCCTCTCCCGCCCCCCCCCCCAGCCCAGCCACCCGGCCAGAACATCAGCCCCGGGGGGCAGACCCCCTCCAGCCTGCCTCCCGCCAGCCCAGCCCTGCCAGAGCCCCCCCCCCACAAAGCATGAATCTCTTCCGATTCCTGGGAGACCTCTCCCACCTCCTAGCCATCATCTTGCTACTGCTCAAAATCTGGAAGTCCCGCTCTTGTGCCGGTGAGACGCCCAGCGGGGCGGGAGAAGGGGGGAGAGCGCAGGGGACATCGCAGGACTCGGGGAAGGGTTTGTAGGCACGAGGGGGACGGGTCTCCCCACCCAGTCCCCCGCTGCTTGCTGGGGATCCCCCTTCCAGTCCGGGGTCACCGGGGGGTCAGTTCCCTTCCCCAGACGAGGGGTGCATACAGTTTGGTGGGGGTGGCTCCAGGCACCCAATTCAGCTACCCCCGGGCCCTTCTCTGGTGGCCCCGGGAACCGTGGCAGGCAGGGAGGTGGCCGGGAGTTGGTGACGTGGACCGTGGCGGCCAGGAAGGGAGCGGGACAGCGGCGACCGGTTCCAGGGGGCTGAGGTCAAGTGGGGTCCTTCCGAGGCCCCACCTTGTGTCCGGACTGTGGAAGGACCCGGAGGGGGCCGGGAGTGGCCGTGAGGCCTAGCCTGGGACAGAGCCTCGGGCTGGAGTAGCTTCGGGGCCGGGCTGCCCCCTGGCTGCGGGCCGTGGGAAAGGGCCCTGCTCAGGCGGGGAGGGCTGGGGAGGCCTCCAGGGACAGCTGCACTCTGGAACCGACTCTGGGCTGGTCCCAGGCGCTGGGCCTTGCTTTATTCCCCAGGCAGCCCACTCCCAGCCTACCCCCCACTCTCTCTCTTGGGACTGCAGGGATTTCAGGGAAGAGCCAGGTCCTGTTTGCTGTGGTGTTCACCGCCCGATACCTGGACCTCTTCACCAACTACATCTCACTGTACAACACCTGCATGAAGGTAAAGCCTCTACCCCACCTGCTGGCCCCTCCTGAGGGGGGAGCCAAGTGAGGGTCCTAGGGAGGAGGGAGTATGGAGCCCAGACTTCCTGGGCCCAGGGGAGGAAGGGGCTGGGGTTCCAAACTCCTCTGAGTCCAAGGGAGACGGGGGCTGGAGGTGAGGACTCCTGGATGTAAGGGAGGAGGGACTGGGGGTAAGGACTCCTGGGTCTGAAGGAGGAGGCTGGGGTCCTGGACTCCTGGTTCTGAGGGAGGAAGTGGCCGGGGTTGCAGACTCCTCTAAGTTCCAATCTCTTGGAGGCTCAGGCCCTGCACTTTGAGCTGAAGTGCCCTCCTCGTCATATCCCCTTGGCAGGTGGTCTACATTGCCTGTTCCTTCACCACAGTCTGGATGATTTACAGCAAGTTCAAAGCCACTTACGATGGGAACCACGATACATTCCGGGTGGAGTTCCTTGTTGTTCCCACGGCCATCCTGGCGTTCCTGGTCAACCATGATTTTACCCCTCTAGAGGTAGGCTACCTGGCAGGGTCCTGGTAGTGGTGGGTGACAGAACAGCTATTGACAGTGGACCCTCTCAAGGGCTTCCTTGCTCAGGGTTTGCTCAGACTTCCTTATTTTATTTTATTTTTAAAGATTTTATTTATTTATTTGTGAGAGAGAGAGAGAGAGAGAGAGAGGGAGTATAAGCAGGGGGCGGGGCAGAGGGAGAAGCAGACTCCCCGCTGAGCAGGGAGCCCGATGCGGGACTCGATCCCAGGATCCTGGGATCATGACCTGAGCCTTAGGCCGACACTTAACGATTGAGCCCCGCAGGCACCCCCAGACTTCTTTATTTTAGGACATACAAGTTCAGCACACAGGTTTGGGAGTTGGATGGTATTAATGCAATAATAGCGGCACTCAGTGCGCTCCAGGTGCTGCTCTAAGCATTTCTTTGTACAGCAGCCCCATTTTACAGATGAGGCAACTGAGGCTTAGGGAGTCTAAATGACTTGTCCAAGGTCATTGGCTTAATGAGTAGCTCAGGAATTGGGACCAGGGGCTCTGGAGCCAGGCTACTTGGATTTGAATCCCACATCAGCTACTTTCTATTAGCGTGACCTTGGGCATGTGACTTGACCTCTCTGTACCTCAGTTTCCCTATCTGTAAGGTCCCGATCAGGTCATTGTGAGGATTTACTGATTATGTGGCATGGTCTCATGGTTAAACACAGAGACTGTGGAACCAGAGAGCAGGGGTGATTCAAAAGCCAGCTTCTACTACTCAGCAGCTGTGGGACTTTGGGCAAGTCTGTTATTTTTCTGGGCCTCAGTCTCCTTGTCTGTAAAATGGGGATAATCAATTCCCTCTTCATAGGGTTCTCATGAGAGGTTCATAGTGGTAAATCACAGCGTCTGGCCCTAGGTAGCAAGTCCTGTGTCAGTGTTAGTTTAATGACTGAAGTTTAATACCGTGCTGATACTTCTCCTAAAAGTCGTGGTTTTTATTCCGCGGCATTTTTGATAGCGCCTGTACAAATTCCTGGGAAGAATTTTGAGAGGGCCTGTGCTAAGTTTGTGATCTCATACCTCTTGAGGCCCAGCGGGAATCAGAAAATCAGAGCAGCCTTCCCTCCCCAGGTCTTGCAGGAAGCTGGCCCTGAGTGGCCAGATGTGCTGATGTTTTCAACAGAGGCCCCAATTCAGGAGTTTTCCTGAAGGATCGAGCTTTACAAATTTGGCCACATATTCAAACTATATTTCTTTTTTTATTTTTAAGTTTCTTTTTTTTAGTAATCTCTACACCCAGTTTGAGGCTTGATCTCATGACCTGGAAATCAAGGGTCGCAGGCTCTTCGGACTGAGCCAGCCAGGCGCCCCTCAAAATATATTTCCAAAAGCACTGTGCAGGCCAGACAAATTTGACTAAGGGCGATGTCGGCTCACGGGTCCCAGGAATGTCAGAGGAAGGCTGCACCGCGCCGTGGCGGGAACCCTGGACTTGGCTGTAGGCCCTGGTCTTTGCAAACATACTGTCCTCACCCCTTTCCTGGAGCACTTACCCATTTTGCAGATGAGGAAACAGAGGCAGGGGGAAAGTACTGGGGCTTGCTTTAGGTGGAGGTGGCCAGACCAGAACCCAGGACACTTGACTCCAGCTTTTGCGGTTCCCTCATTCAGAGGAGGGAGGTCACTTGTGCAAAGTATTGGCACCAACTGTGTGTCCAGCTCTGCGCTGGCTATTCTACATAGGTCCTCATCCTGTCTGACCCTTGGCCACCCGGGACGCAGACATCCTCATCCCCATTTCTTGGAGCACTAAGGTGAGGCTCAGAGGGGAGAGCTCACAGCATTTGAACCCAGGTCCACCTGCTTGCAAAGCCCATGGTATTAACTGGTGCATGCTAAAAAAATTATTATTATTTTTTTAAGATTTTATTTATTGGGGCGCCTGGGTGGCTCAGTCGCTAAGCGTCTGCCTTTGGCTCAGGTCATGATCCCAGGGTCCCGGGATCGAGCCCCACATCGGGCTCCCTGCTCCGCGGGGAGCCTGCTTCTCCCTCTCCCACTCCCCCTGCCTGTCCTGGAATGCTCCATGCGGGGCTCGATCCCAGGACCCTGGGATCATGACCTGAGCCGAAGGCAGATGCTTAAAGACTGAGCCACCTAGGCGCCCCTTTTTTTGAATCATGGAAGAAAATTATTCTTTAAGAATTCAGACATCACAGGCGCCCGTTTCTCCCTCTCCCACTCCCCCTGCTTGTGTTCCCTCTCTCGCTGTCTCTCTGTCAAATAAATAAATAAAACCTTAAAAAAAAAAATTCAGACATCACGAATAGAGAAATGAACACAATGAAAATGTGACCTTCCGTCTCCTCTTCTGTCATAAGTCTCTTCTCCAAGGGTGACCCCAGGGGTAACAGCTGGGTGTGCATCAATTTAATGGGTATGTTTTTTGAGAGCCTCAATACACCTGACTTGCTAAGAGCTGTGCTGGAGGATCCTGAGTGATTATGGGAGTGAGTGCTGGAGTCCAGTGCCTGGGTAGGAGTCTATTTCTACCCATATTGTGGCTGTGTGACCTTGGGCCTCAGTCTTCTTCTCTGTATAATGGGGATAACAACAGGCTTCACCTCCTGGGATTAAGACATAAGCCAGTTAACACCCATAAGGTGGTAGAGCAATGCCTTGGATATGGTAAAAGCTGTGTAAGCGTGAATTGTTACGAATGCACTCTTGATGTTCCCCCCTTTTCTCCCACAAAACCAAAACAGCTGAGGAGGAGCCCCACCTGCCACCTGGCCTCGTTCTCTGAGGGGAGGTTTCGGTGCGTCTGCAGGCCAAAAGTCACCCCAGCTGGGACTTTCAGGTTGCTGAGGGCTGAGAAGGAGCTGACAGATGTCTGCAGTCTCTCCTTCCCCCTCCTACGATGCCCTGTCCTGCCCACAAGTGATGATTGTCACTGCTTTCTAAATGGTGGCCGGCAACAGACAAGCACACGGGGGGCTTGCTCCCATTCACTCACTCATTCATTCAGGCATCGAATATGTGCCTGGCTCCGTGGCCACAGAGTGAACAAGATGTAGGATCCTGGGCCTCGTGGAGCTCGCTCTTGTTCTGCTGAGAGCTGCCAGGAAGAACAGAGGGGATGATGTGACAGTCCTGGAGGTAGGACTGGTCAGGGGAGGCCTCTCTCAGAGGTGATGGATGAACGAGGCTGCAAGGAGGTGGAAGAGGCCAAATGTGACAGTCTGGGGGGAGAGCTGTGGGAATGGCGAGTGCAAAGGCCCTGGGGCAGGAAGGAGTGTGGCGTGTTGGGAGTACCGGCTAGGAGGCTGCATCCTGGAGCGCAAAGGAGGGAGTAAGGGACGAGGCTGGAATGGGCCTTGAAGGCCACCATTAGGAATTTGGCATTTATTCTGGCTGTGATAAGAAGCAGTGACTGGAGGACTTCAAGCCAGGGAGTGACAGAGCCTGATTTATGTCTCTAAAGATTACACACTGAATAGCGCCCCAGCAAGGGTGGAAAAATCAGCCCCATTTTAGAAATAAGGAGGTAGAGGCTCAGAGAATCTGGGTCTCTTGCCCAAGGTCTCAGAGAAGGGAAATCTCAGAGCCAAGATTCCAGCCTGGCCTGCCTCTTGGAGGGGCATGACTGCAGAGTGCTCATGAGCACTGCCTCCAGAGACCCGTGCTTCGTGTCCTGGCTGCGCTGCTTCCTAGCTACGTGCTCCTGGGCAAATCTCTGGGCCTCAGTTTCTTCATGCATAGAATGGGGATGCCAGTGACAGGCTCTCCCTGAAGGGGTGGTGGCGAGGACTAAGTGGGAGAGTCCGGGACGTGGGTGGAGCTGTGTCTGGTATCACTGTTGGGCCCGCTCAGCATCTCGGTCCCCGTTCTCCCTCCACCACCCCTGCGCCGGGTGACCGCGAGGCCGCCCGCCGCCTGCCCTCCCGCCTCACCCTGCTCTCTGCCCCTGCTTCTTCGGTTCCCCACAGATCCTCTGGACCTTCTCCATCTACCTGGAGTCAGTAGCCATCCTGCCCCAGCTGTTCATGGTGAGCAAGACGGGGGAGGCCGAGACGATCACCAGCCACTACTTGTTCGCGCTGGGCGTCTACCGCACGCTCTATCTCTTCAACTGGATCTGGCGCTACCACTTCGAGGGCTTCTTCGACCTCATCGCCATTGTGGCGGGCCTAGTCCAGACTGTCCTCTACTGCGATTTCTTCTACCTCTACATCACCAAAGGTAGCCAGCGTGGAGGGCCGGCTGCGGGGCATCCTGCCCCGACCCCGGCTCCCCCCCTCCCTGGGGCCCAGGCTCCGCCTCCCCAGCCCTGGAGCCCTCGAGGGAGGGCAGGCTTCCTCTGCCAGCTTCTGGGGTCCCAGGCTCACTGCCCGCCTAGGAATTCGGACCTCCAGCCCCTGCCTACCTAAGAATCAAGGCATCATTCTCCCAGCCCCTGTGCCCCTGAGGAAAGAGCAGCGAGGCATCGGAGGTGTGGGGGGCAGGGGGGTGCTGCCTGCTGGCAGAGCAGCGTCCTCCCTTGACCCCACAAAGAGCGGGCATCCCTCTCCCCAGCCCCTGGGCCTTTGGAGGATGAAGAGACAGGACAAAGAGCGGGCAGGAGTGGCCTCTGACTTTTCCTCTCTCAGAATCTGTCCTAGGGCCCTCCTCCCACCCCGAGGTTCCAGGTCCCATAAAAGATCAGAATTCCTACCTCCCGAATCCCAGCAGCGCTCAGAGAAGGGAGAGGCTCCTCTCTGTTGCTTGGTCTCTGTCCTCACCCTCAGGGACTCAGGCCCGCCAAGATTCATACATTCATTCATTCATTCATTCATTCATTCATTCATTCATTCAACCATCCAACAAATGTGTTGAGCACTTTCTGTGTCCCTGGCCAGGGCTAGGCTCTGGACGTGCAGCAGAAGGAAAAAAGGTGGCCCTCCCCTCCCCTGTGTTCTAGTCTGGGGGTGATGGTGAATGAACGAGAGAGAGATGGTGGCAAACAGCAAGAGAGAAAGAAGCCAGGGATGTGTCAGTGAGCAACCGGGGAGGCTGAGGAGGCTGCTTTATATGGGGGGGGGGGTGGTCTGAGGAGGTGGCGACGGGAGCAGGGAGCTGAGAAATGAGGAGGGAAAGCAGGGACAGTAAGGGCAGAGCGTGGAGGCAGCCTGCGGCCCCTCCGGATTGAGGCTGGGCGGGGAGGGGGGCGGGCAGGAGGGGGGCGGTGGCACCTGGCCAGCCCTACCAGGCCCTTGGACCCTGTCCTTTTGAGACCCCTAGGTGCCTCTTGCCTGCATCACTCAGCCCGCCGCTGGGCAATTCAGGCCTGTCCTCCCAGCTTATGATGCAGGGCCCTGCGGCTGACCCTCCCGGCCGCTCCACCGGCTGAGCATCCAAGCGGGCGTGGGAGGGTGTCCCCTCCGCAGGGCCCCCCGGTAATGCCTGCCCGCTCTGTCTCCTCACAGTCCTGAAGGGGAAGAAGCTGAGTTTGCCGGCATAGCCCTGGGCCCGGCCATCCCTCTCCTCGGCGGCCCGCGAGAGGTGGAGGAAGGCAGCAAACAACGAAGAGCCTTCCCGTCCAGGGGTGACTTTTTAAAGAACCAACCTCTCCGCACTCCCTGGCCCCCCTCCTGCCGGGTTTCAGGGGGGCGGTGGAGGACCCAAGTCTTGGGGAGCTCAGGACCTGGGGTGTTTGTAGTTTTTTGCCTTTTAGAGAAGAAAAAAAAAAATCTTTCCACTATTTAGTTTTTGATTCTGATGACTCCTTTCTCTTCTACTCTCTGGCCCCTGATTTTTATAAACTGTTTTTGAGTGTCCTGTGGGGTGGGGCAGGGTCGGAGATCTTTTCCCTCCCCCAAAGCCCCTCGGCTCCCTTGCAGACCCTAACCCCCAGCCCTGCCCGTTGCCAAACACTAAACCTGCACACACCCACCTGTCTGACCTCCCATCGTGGCCAAGAACGCAGCCTCCCCACCAAACCCCCCAAAGTTCAGGATTGGGGAGAGGGAGGAGGGGAGGGACGGTCTCCCTGACTTTTCAACATAATTTTTTTCCAGAGTTTGGGGTTTTTTGGTCTTGTCCTCATTTTTTGACAATTTAGCAGGGGACGAGGGGGCCAGACGTGGCAAACGGGGTTGGCCTGAGGGTCACTGTGGCTCAACAGCCACATTTTTGTACAGAATTGATGGTTGATTCTTTGTTCTCTTGAAATAAACCGAGGAAAATGATGCCTCTTTCGCTACTCCTTGCCCTCTCTCTGGTGTTTGTGGGGTCCCTCCCGGCCCCCCTCTCTGCTTCTCCTTTATCCCATTGACAGCCTGCAGGCGACCGAGGCCTGGGAGGAGCAGACAGGTGACAAACTGGGTTCCCCGAGTTTGCTCTGAGCAAACCTCTGAGCTGCACCCTCACTCCTCACAGCTGTGTTGGGGAAGAGGTTTCGGGGTGCAGGGTGGTGGGGAAGAAAAGAAAATCTTGAAGATTCTCTTTATCTTGGCACAGAACTTTCCTGGCAGTTCTCCCGAATCCCAGGGCTGCAGAGGACCTTCAAGAGCATGTGTTGTAGAGATCACCAGTGGGCAGCCCCTGTCTTGCCCTCATTTGGCATTTTGTTGAGCCACTCTGTTTCCTTTAAAAAGAAAAATAAATAAATAAATGGAATCTGTTGCCAGCCTTTAGAAATCAGATTTCCACATTGAAATCTGGATTTCTGGCTTCTCTTGAAAAAAAATCCATCAACCTGACAATGCTGGGTCCTCGCTTCCGGGTGGCAACAGATGGCTGGAGCTGAATGGAAGAGATGTGAGCCTTCCATCACCATCCCCAGGACTTGGCTGAGGGGTTGCTACCATTTATTATCGGGCTGACACGGGTGTTTTTTGTTTTTGTTTCATGGAGTTAAAAGAAAAGCCAACTATTTTCCACGTCTCCCTCCCAATCGGCTTCACACCTGGCCTATTATTTCCTTCACTTGTGTTAGGTGCCTGGACCTTGTCAGGCTTTTGGAGTTTTGCCCCCTGGTTCAGGCTGACTCCCTAGATGTCCACCAAGACCTTCCCGAGCCATGTTCAGTTCTGTCGGATGGCTCTGGAAGCTTCGGCAGGTGGGTAGCTGAAGTTTCCCAAGCCTGAGTGCCTGGCAGTGTGCTTTGCACGGATGAAGCCGCTGGACCCCAACAGCACCCCTGACGGGGGGTACTTTGAGTAGGAGGAGGAAACCAGGGCATAGGGGCAAGGGGCAGAGCTGGCGTTTGTCCCTGAGCTTCCCGATGCCGCAGCCTGTGCATTTAGCCACCTCTGTGTAGTTTTTCAACGGTTTTTGCTTCTTTCTTGTAAGCCAAGTCACCTTCTGTTTACAGGAATTTTACCCAGAAGCCTGAGTGGGAAAACGGAGGAACCGGGCCGCTTGGGCTGATTCAGGGGGGTGGGGGGGTGGCACCTCTCTGTGTGCAGTCTGAACACCATCAATCGAAATCTGGTCTGACTCTTTAGTTTTCCAGCCAAGACAGCTTGGCCCGGAGAAATGAAGGGCCACATCCCAGCTTATCCAGCTAGCGATAGAGCTGGGACTAGTGCTCAGAGACTTCCTGTTTTGAACCTCAGAACACTGCCTACTCCGCGGCCCAGCTGCTGTTTTCCCAAGATGCCCACAGGGACCACGTCCTACTTATTTTGGTACCTTAAGGAGCAAGCATGGGGACTGCCACACAGGAAACCTCAAAAAAAAAAGAAAAAGAAAAGGGACCATAGAACCCCCGTGTGACCCCTGCCCCCACGACTGGTATCCCTTTGTCCAGTTTGTAAATGAATGTCCTGCAGGCCACAGTGGCCCTCGTGTGGGCTGGTTTTGTTTGGCCTGCATAACGTTAACAGTTTTTCTTTCTATTCGTTGCCAACAAACTCCACATAAAAAGAAGTGGATTTCTGATTGTTCTAGAAAAAAACAGAAGGTTCTAGAACTTCGCTGTCCAATACAGTAGCCATTGGCTCCATGCAACCATTAGCACTTGAAATGTGATGGGTCCAGATTAAGATGGGCTGTCTGCGGATTTCAGAAATTTTGTAGGAAAGAATGTAAGAGACCGCCATTTTTATACTGAGGACGTGTTGAAATAAAATAAATGATAATATTTTGGATATATTGGGTTAAATAAAATATATGAAAGTTAATTTCACTTGTTTCATCCTACTTTCCTCAATGTGGCTACTAGACAGTTTAATATTCTGCCCCCCCCCACGGCCCCCTGGCTTGCATGACATATTAATCGGACAGTGCTGCCCTAGACACCCCAGGCGCGTGGTGCTGAATGGTGGGTGCTGAGTGAAGGCTGCCACTCCGAGACACGGCCCCTGTCCCTGCTACTCCCTTAATGAGTGCTTCACTCACTGGGGTCACCTGCTCATCTTGTGCCCGAGTCCCCAGTTGCCTTCTGGGTTCTAGAATAAAATCCCTTCCTCTTTGCCAAGACTCGCAAATGTTTGCAGACAAGGCTCTGCCCTGATCTCATTCACGGACTCACCGTCCCCTGTTCCTTGGTTTTGAGTTGGGTCTCTTGTCACTGGGGTGAGTGGAAGGGCTGCCCCCAGTGTTGGCCCTGGTTCTTCCTAGTGCTCTCTCCATGGGCAGAAGCGTTTTCTCTCTGCACGTGAGCTTGCCCGACCTTGCATCATGGTGCCTCGTGCCTCTTTCCTCTGGCCAGGGTGAGGATTGAAGGTGCCAAAAGGGATGTCCCCTTCCTGTCACCAGGGTGTGCTGCCATCCCAGTGGCACCCAGATGGAGAGTCTGGGAGGTGGTATGGGAAATTTGGCCCCGTGCTGAGACCCCTGAAGTGACCTCATAGGATTTCTCCCCACCTCTGGCCACTCAAAAGACCAGAGAGGAACAGACATGAGAAGGAGAGAGGGCTGTTTTCAGAAACCCTTCGGGAGGGAGGATTATCTCTTTACTGATGTGGAGGAGGATATTCAGTTGTCGGGCATCATAGCGAGGCGGGGGGCCTTCGGAGTGGTCAGAGAGGGGGACAGGGCAGAACTGGCATAACTCAGGTTGTTGGGGCCAGTGGTGGGCGTGTTAACAGGGCTGGCGGCAGAAGGCAGGGAGAGGGTGGTCAGCACCATGCCACCCTCATCCAGGGAGCGCTTGTAAGGGACTGGAGTATCATTCCGGAGATCCTGGAGGGCCAGGTAGGCCTGGAACATCTGTGGGCAGGAAAGGGCATGCCAGAGGCTGGCTTGGGTTAGGCAGGGGAGGCGAGGGACCGGGTCTGGGGACTGGCCTGGGAGGGAGACCAGGGTACGGTTGTCCTCACTGCTCACTGCACAAGGGCACCCAGCACGATGCCTAATGTTGGCCTGCATCTGCATGGGGTAAGGTGAGGCCTCTTTCCAATTTGCCCAGTCACAGAAAAGACTAGCAGAGGCCCTGGGAGGAGCCCTCCCCCACTCCCAGGGGAGCTGAGTGAGCACGGGAATGCTCTAGCCCCCCAGCCCCACCCTCCAGAGGGGGCCCATCCTCACCCAGATGAGGATGGAGAAGAAAACGAAGGCAATGGCGGCCTTGGCGCTGCTGCTTCCCAGGAGGAACGCTTTGGGTGGTGAATGCTGCCACTGATTGGCCAGGAAGCAGAAACCCACGAACCAGATGCCTGTCCACAGGACTGGGGGGGTCGCAGGAGAGAAGAAGGGCGGGGGGAGCCTGGCTCAGGGAGGGTGGGGCTGGGGTCTGGCTGGGGGGCCTCTCCCCCCGCAGCCCTCCATAAAGTGCACCGCCGCGCCGTCCGCTACCGGAGCCACTGGCCACGTGTGGCTGTCTGCACTTCAATTAAAATAGGATTTAAAAACACAGCTCTTCTGGTGCACTGGCCACACTTCAAGTGCTCAGTGGCCACATGTGGCCAGTGGCTCCCCTACTGGGGAGTGCAGGTATGGGACAGTCCCATCTGCACAGAAAGTTCTCTTGGACGGCCCTGGATTCAGTAACCTTGAGGGCCCTCCTGGCCCTGAGACGCTGGGATCGGCCTGGTGCGGAGGCGGGAGGAGGAGCGGGGGTGGAGGTTGAGGCCGGACTGAGAGGAGGGAACCCCAGGGCCTGAGGGAAAGGAACTCATTTATTTGGCGCTTCCTGTGTGCCAGGCTCTATCAAGAGTACTCGGCAGTGGTTAGGAGGCAAGACTTTGCTTTGAGGCCTGGAACTGCCCCTCAGCGGCTGTGTGCCCAATTACATAATCTCCTCAAGCCTCAGTTTCCTCCTCTGCAAAAAGGGGGTAGGAGCAGGACTTCCCTCCTCAGGTGGGTCTGAGGAGTCCATGAGACGAGGCACGTGGGGCCTCTGGCTCTGTGCCTGACATGTGGGAGGTGCCCAGAAAAGGTCAACATTACTCCGGGCCTCCTTTCTCTCCTTTCATGCTCCGAAAAAGCCCTGCATTGGGGGGGTTTTCATCCCTGCGTCTACTGAAGCTCAGAGAGGGGAAGAGAGCCGCTTGAACCCACAGGGCGCCCAGGCGCCCGAGTTGAGATTTCAAACTCAGGTCTGCCTGGCTCCGTGCTGGAACCCCACCTCCTGCCCCCGGGGGGCTTTTCAAGAAATGTTCTGTGAAGAAGGGAGGTGAATGCGAGGAAAAAGCAGGGCAGGAGGGAGGCTTCTAGAATTAGCCTGGGGGTCAGAAGAGGTGGCCCTTACACTGAGTCTAAAGGATGAGTAATAATTCCCTGGGGGGAAACAGCAGGTGCGGAAGAGCTTCCAGAAGGGAGGGGTGAGGCCTCAGGTCACGTGTGAAGGACAGTGGACGGGCTGGGTGGGGAAGGGAGGTGTCCTGGGGGCCCTGGGAGCAGTCCCAGGGGGCTCACCAGCCAGGATGAAGTCTAGGAGCTGGAAGGCCGTCTTGAAGCGGGTGTTGCCGATGTGGCTCTCGTGGGCGTCCAGGGCCAGGAAGGTCAGGCAGCTGAGGAAGGCCAGGAGGCCGGCGCCCACAGCGAAGCTGCAGGCCACATTGTTGCTATTGAGGACGCAGTGGAGCTTCGAAGACTCGGTCTTGTTCTGGTAGCCGTCGGTCAGCAGGGAAGAGAAGACGATGAGGGAGAAGACCTGTGGGTGCAGGAGGGGGGTTCCCAGCGGGCCGAGCGGAGCTCAGCATTCACCAAAACCGTGCATCCTCCAGGGTCCCTGTCTGGGAATGGTGGGCCCCGCTCCTCACCCTGTCACATCCTCAGGGCTTCCAAGACTATCCCTATTGCTCCTTACACCTC